ATAGTATATATCTTGCAGCCACAATTGCTCTATATTTCCTCCAAAAACTGCCGGCCACTGCGTGACTAAATATATATATATATTAGCCGGCCTGTACGTGAACGTGGGTATATATATAATAATTCACAACCTTTTTTTTATTCATTTCAAACAAAGAGTCCAAATCTATTGACATTTCAAATTAAAACCCAATTAATTTAATGCTTCCTTCCAAGTCATCGTATTATAAATTTTTTCATTTTTTACTATTTTGCATTTTTTTCTTCAATTCTTCATTAAACACAAAGTTTTACCTACAAAATACAATTTAACATAAATTAGGTAAAATTTAATTCCAAAGATAATAAAATATTATGATTTAACGCCTCGAATATGTATAAAAACTACACTTATCAGTAGTCTCATTTCTTGCCTCAGCCCAACTAGAACTTCTAGAATATCGTGATCCTTAGTCAATTTATTACATCTACCGAGCACGAACAGTACCTTAAAAATTTAGACAACTTGTTGAAGCACCAAAAATATGGACTCTATCCATCGTGCATTATATGTAGTACTAAACTTGATTAGACACCATATGGAACAAGAGTTCAAGACATCAGATCAAATTGAACATATCTAAATATTTGAATAATTTTGTCCTTATTTGGTCTCATGATTTTCAAAATACATTTTTCTCTCTTTTATTTTCAATCACACATTTTTCAATAAAATAATATTGCACGTAAATTCTTTTTATTTTTTGTCTACACGTTCTCTATCAAAATGCATTTCGAACAAAAAGTGAGATTCAAACTGGTTCTTAATAAAATGTATAACTAATCTTTCTATCTGTCTTATCAAACACAAAAGCAACGATATGTGAATATGAGGCAGCTCCAATGGAGACGGCATCATTTTGGTGCAAACATTTGCAATGATATATTCCCCATCGTGTCTTTCATTTATTATTAACCAAAATTCCCTTCTCGATGTGTCCCTATTTTATTATATATTTCATTCTTTAATTTAATTGTATTACTATTATTATTATTATTATTACTATTATGTGTAATAAATTTTAATCATGTAATCAATAATAATTGAACGTAATTCAATACATATCTCCCAATACACGTTTCCTTCTAGAATTGCTTTGACTAATCAACGGGTAATTCGTAGTTACATAACTCCAGAGTATATAATACGTGGCAACTTCGCAATAAAATCCGATATTTTAATCGTGTAATCAATAATAATTGAACGTAATTCAATATTTTAAGTGTACTATATATTTTTAAAATTTATTAATGAATATAATGTAATTATTTATTTAGTAATTTATGTAGTTGTAAAAGAAATTAATAATTTTTCAAATAAATAATTTTTTAAGAATAAAAAAATAAAAAAAATGATTAAACATTCTTTATTTGCTGTAAGTTTTGGTATAATGAGTTGGAGATGATTTCCAGTTTGGTGTAAAAATGGTGCAAAACTTACCTCAAATTTTGGTATAAGGTTGGAGATGGCCTAATGGGTTTATCAGAGATAGAGACTGAAGATGTGATTCGTTTTAATTGTTGAATATGGATAGTTGAGTGGAAGTTAATATCATTTTATTAAAATACCTAACTATCCGGAAGTACAAGATCAGGGAATCAATGATCCTGATCTATGACTTTATTAAACAAAAATAGTTGCTGGCTTCTATAAGGACTGTGTAACTTTAGACTATGATTGTCTTGGTATAGTGCAGTGTGCTTTTGAATCCATGCCATGAGCAGAAAGATAGCCATCTTTCTTTCCTACCAATCAGCCTGCATGCTCTTAGTAATTCTTGTGAATTTTACGAAACAATGTGTCGAATATTT